ACATCTAAGGCTACTCCAGGACACTGGGATGCTGATCAGCCAGACCTCACACTCAGTCTAAGAACAGCATGGCTCCTTCCAATCTATTCACTCAAGTTTTTCCTCACAGAAACTTTGGGGTGGGCAGCAGTGAGGGGTAGGGGAGCAGCATGCAGCCAACTCTTACATAGGCATGGGCTCTGGATGTGGAATTAGACAAACAGCACCTTAGGAATCAACCAGCATTTGCACTGACCCATCTTCTGCCGCAGCTCCCACAGAGAACTAGAAAAAAAGCATCCGCCATGGTTGAAAACTGTCTCATGCAACAGATTCTGCTGAGAGCAAAGCAGAGATTATGAATGAGTTGACAAAACCAACCTGCTGCTGGCATAGGCACCAAGCAGAGATGGAGTAGCTATACTGGAAGTGTTTCATCCATTACTGTCAGAGAAGTCACTTTTACCACTGATCCTGCTTCAATAAATCATGTTGCCAAGCAGTTTTATAGAGGCGTTATACATCCAAAGCTACTTATGGTCCTGTTGAAAGAGATGCATTTCTTTTTTAGCTCAGTGTGGCTGAAATGCTGTCACAGAAGAAAGAGAGTCGCTGCTCAGAGTGCTATTGTAAAAGAGGTATTACTGTAATTACAGCAGGAGAGACGATGTGAGCTAGGAGCCACCATCTTCTTCCCCCATCCCATTGCCTTCGGGCAGCCTTGCAAAGCTGAAAATTTGTGACCACAAGCACAATAGCTGCTCATGCACACTTTGCCATGTGATTGATGAAAATGGGGAAATAATGATGTTACTTCCCCATTCACCATAAATTACCCATCCCCTCAAAGTGACTACAGTATTATAAGTCTGGCCAGAGTTATACGTCAAACTTAACCAATTAGCTTTTTATAAAGGCTGTTGTCTTCTTAATGCAGTGTTAGATATATTTAGGCATATATCTATGAAATAAAGTATTTCTTTCTGAAGCTAACAAAACCCTCATTCTAGCAGACTTAAAACCTTGGTCTCCAAATGTTCACTCTGTGGCTGTGTTCACATCAGCAAGTTATTCAATAATAGCAGAAGCCAACAAATAGATCAAAGCAGGCGTTCTGGAGGCCCCTACACATACACTACATATACACCATATACGTGTACATATACACGTACACATACATATACACATATTTATACATGTACACATGTACATATATATAAATAAATATGTTTTGCCACTGTTGAGGTCACCAGTAAAACTCTCACAGATTATGTTACTAACAAGTGGGGTAGCTCAGGAAGCCGGTATATCCAGTACAGCTAAATCTACACGGCACACGTATAGCTCCCATCAATATGATGTTTTGAATTTGGTTCTGTTCAGATGCAGCCCTGCCTGTGACTGGCCCTTACCACCGTCACACTGCTGCTCCTGATTGTGCTGGGAGGGACCTGTCCTGCTGTTAATTGGCCACTCCTGTCTCTGGAAGGCAGAGGTAATTCCCAAGGCCATTACCATGCTAAGCCCATCCAGACCAGCAGCAGCGCAGGCAGCCGTTGCCTCTTCCCTGCCAAGCGGGGTGATGGGAGAGGAGCCCTGGGCAGCGATGCCCCCTTTGCTGTACACACCTACCACACCCCAACAACCCAGCAAGGCAGCTGCCAACAGCGCTGAGGTGCCTAGGCAAGTAGAAACGTCCTTCTTCCTGTCTCTCCTGCACGGTCTTCTTAAATCTACACACAACAGTTAATGTCCCCGTTTCAGCATTTGCTTGAGACAGAAAAAGGCACTGCACAGGCACAGAAGAGAAGCAAGGTCTCTAGGCAGTTTGCCTAGAGAACACATACCAGAGGGGGAAGAGGAAAAGCTTTTTTTTTTTTTTTTTTTTTTTTTTGTTAAAATCAGCGAAAAGTTTTTTTTTTTTTTTTTTTTTTTTGGTAACATCAGCTCAGGAGTCAATTGCAGATAATGGAGCAGCTGTGACCATGCTGGCCTCAGGTCAAAATCCAGAGCACACCTCTGATTCCTGGCCCCAGTACAAAGAGGTTGCTGGAAACCCTCTAATGTCAATGGCGAATCTGGCTGTCCAAACAAACACACACCTGCAGTGGCAGAGGTGTGTCAAAAACCTGTCTGACCCAGCTGCCTATGGAGCACAGAGACAACCAGCTGGAAACCTCAGCCAAAGAGTATTTCTGACATTCCACATGCAAGGAACTCCTTGCCATAGCATAAAAGGATGCCGTGGATAGTAAGCTTACTTAATCTAAAAAGCAACTGGGTAAGTGCACGGGACAAAGTCTATCAGGGTCTACCAAGCATAATAATAACCATCCCTGAGCCACGCTGTACTAAAGACAAGGGAATATTTTGAGGAGATACCAGCCTAGAGTTGCATTGATCCTGTAATCTGTCTTAGGTATCCACTACTGTCCATCACTGGCAGCAGAGCACTGAGCTAAGATGGACCTCGATGTATGTCTAACATTCCCAGACAGCAGGTTGTATTGAAAATCAGTCACGAATATTTGCCTGAACACTGTTCCTGAACCCCAGCCACAGGAACACACTATTTTCCTCAGGTGAGCAGGCCCCCTCGTTTCTACATTAACACAAATACATTGGTTAAAGCCTCTCAGTGGCTGGACCAACAAAGGAGATTACTCCATCAGTTCCCATCTCACACAGTCAGATAATGCAGGGCCACACCAGGACGCCTAAAATAGCAATTTATTGGAAAAAGCATTATGACTATTTATAGACGCTGCGACATGATTAGTACCCCAAACAGAAAGATAAACTGACAACCTAAAGTCTTTCAAATCAACAACTCCCACTGAGCTCATAAAGTCAATGATCAGCACAAAAATTGTAAATCACACCATTATTATTATTTATTTATTTATCTAAAAACTCTAGAAAATGCAGACAGAACACAGGTATCTTTGCTTGTACAGAAAAGGCAATTCTGTTTGCATAAGCTTTTGATATCAGTTAACACTGTCTATGAAACTGTACCCTGCCTACTGTGTGCAAAAGGCCAGTAGCAGGCCTGCACAGGCAGAACCTACACGTGATTACTCTCACTAGTGGGTCAGAAGGTCTTGTTCCCTGTCTGCAAAGAGTGAGTGTATGTTATTAAAAAAAACCTAAAAAACCCAAACATGCTGGTGAGATGTGCAGCTCTGTTCATACCAGGTTTATTATGGGTCTTCACAGAATGATAGAATCATTAATCATTAAGGTTGGAAAAGACCTCAAGGATCATCAAGTCCAACCCAACACCACCTAACTCACTAAACCATGCTGAGATCTCACAGAAGAAATTCTGAGAAATTCCAGGATTTTGATCATTGCAGGACTTTCATTACTGGCAGCCAGAAAGGACTGTATTCACCGTATATGCACAAGTTCCAAAATGAACCCAGGAATGCATAAACCAAGCAGCACTGTGCCCTTCCATTCCTCACCCACACAGGCAAAAACAATCTGAGACGTGAATTGGTCCCTTTGGATTCAGGGATGGCCTTAGAAGGGGCTTCGCTCCTTAAAAAGCTCCTTCAAAAGTTTAACTCTGCCTTGATTTTGCTTTTGATTCCTCCTCTCCTGCACTGCAATCACTAACTGCAGCCAAGAGCTCTTCCCTTGGGTTTTTTTTTTTTTTAATTAAGTTATATCTGCTCTTTTTTCCCATCCTGACTAGCTGCTCTTGCACACAGGTGACTCTCGTGAAGTCCATAGCAAAGCTCTTCTATGGCTCAATAAGAGAAAAGGAAAGCACATCAGAACCTCTGGTTTTCTCCTTTTTACTGCTGAGACACATTCTCAGAAAGCAAGCGCATGTCAAACAGCTCAACAGGACAGAACCTGGGATGCCATCTCACAGGTCTTTCCTTTAGGTCCAAGAAGAGGAAATGGCTTTTGGAAATCACCTGAACTTTGAGGCACTTCAGCACCAGAGGAGCACACCTCTTCTAATGGAGGTAACAGATTATACAGGCACCCGCAGCGGCACAGTGTGCGAGCACGTCCCCACTGCAGGCATCCTCCTGCCTCCCTGGCAGAGCTGACAGCTAGAATGCTGGTCTGATGCCTAACAGTTAAACATTGCCAGTCTTCCTAAAACAAGACCCACCCTTACTATTGTATTCGAAGTTTCCAAAAGGCTATTTATTATTTGACATAAATCTGTGTTTTCAAGAACAGCCATGTTTTCCTCCTCCTTTAAAGACAGCTGCTCTGAGTAGCCCTTCAGAAATTAACACCATTTAAAAGGAGAGGGTTTTTAAAGATCTGCATCCACAGTAGTTCCACTAGATGCTCACCATTCTTCAAATGCACCCTCAGATCACAGGTAATAGGTACCTGGGTTTTTTCATAGCCCGTATTTTTCTAAAACAATTAGATTACCAAAAATTTCAGCTTTGGCCCTTGCATAGGCTAGTTTTAAAGAAATGTTACACACAAGTAATAGGAAGGTGAGGAAATTATCTTGGAGTCTCCACATCACATTGTCCAGCTGATAGTTGAGATCAGGACATAATGCACCCCAAAATGTCCCACCTCAAATGGAAGGACAGCTGCAAAGAGAAACCTGGAACTTCCTCTAAATGACATTTCTCAGGCAGCTGACAGAAGCGTTCCTCACCTGCACACTATGAGACAATGTAAAGGATGCCTGTTTTCACTGCGTTGTATTGGTAGAATGCCCGTGTCCCTTTAGACCGCTTTTGGAGTGGCACAGATAAAAGCAGCATTTTACAGCTGCAGCAAGCTCAGGAAGATAAAGAAGTCCCTGTATGCACTTTTGCCATGTTCCCCTGCCTGCCTCAGGTAAGACTAATCATCTGCCAGCACTTGGACGGGACTCCTGTCAGGCACCAGTCTTGCTAATTACGTACTTTTGGCTGTCTCAGCATTGAACTCTGGGAGTATGAGGCAGATAAAGAAAGTCACAGAGAGATCACGAGAGTCTGTGTGGTTGAGGACCTCGTCTGGAACGAAGGAGCAGGACCACCAGCGTCCATAAAAGACCAAGGCACAGGCATGGAGAAAGGGAATGCTGGTTTTCTGCCTCTGACAAATTATTAGTTTATTTTGAAGAGGACAGGAACATAGCATGGGGAGGTTATCAGTGCAAGCCAGCACCACAGGGAGACAGATGTTCACTGTTTCACAAACCAGACCTCATTGCGTCGCCCGTAAGGCTTCATAGGGGGATCATAACCATTGCAGAAGTAGAAATCCTTGTGGTACGCAGCTTCACTCCCCAGAGCAGACTTCAGCTTGGCAGCATAGTTCACATAATCCATCTCCTTGGCATAGCCACCAAACTGCCTGCAAAGAAACCAAACATGGAGAGATGCTGAGCAGTCCTGGCAAAGAACAGAAAGGAAAAGAGTGAGAAAACTATATAGCCACAATATATTTAGTCATGCATTTTGGTCCAGGTCCTGGCAACATGCACTCGTGCAGGTGCCGTTTTTTGTGAACCAGCACACTTTGTTCCTGATAGGTTAAGTCTCAAAGACTTGCACAGCCAGGGTGCAGTCATCCATTGGCAGACCTCAAACAGACCTCCCCAAGCAGACCCACATATATCAGTCAGCAGAACGGCCCTGCCCTTTGAATTAACGCCATATCAGAGGAACAGTTTCCTAGAAAACAATATTATCTCCAAGTCTGCTCAGCCCACAGTCCTTACACCAATGCTTTCAACAACCATGTTAACAACCGTCTGCTGGAAGCCAGATCACAACGGGAAGCCAAGCTCTAGCTAGCCCAAGGAAAAGGGGAGCTAGGAACAAAGATGTTAGCAATTACAGCCCACATTACTATCTGAAAGGGGTGGGCTGGAATTGGTCTGTTTTATGTTGACCTCCCATGAACAGGAACTGTTTCCACACCATCCTGCACCTCACCGCCCTGCCTCAGGGACAAGGTCTGAGACAAAACAGCCTGTTCTTGCAGAAGCAGCCCACACTTGCAGCAAAGGCCAGGCAGCAGTTGCAGGCAAGGGAAGAGCCAGACAATTTAGGGTCATCCAAAACAGTTCAAGCAAGGAGGCAGGGGAACATCCAAGGGGTCAAATACAAGGTGAAGAGCTTGTTGTTATTGTGATGCTAGTTTGAGTCCAGGTCAAACATTCAAAGGTGATTTGAAGCAATGCAATGGCTGCTTGTTTCCATGATGGACTCTGGCAGGAATTCACCCAGATGAGGCTTCAGCTAACACCTGTAGTTTGATGCAAACCACACTGAAGGACATCTTCATCTCAGTAGGTGGAGAAAACAATTGTTTTCAGAGATTAGAAATTACTCAGTACCTTCATATTCACCCTCCCCTGCTCTTCACCTCTCCAGGTGAAACAAAAAGCCTTTCCTTTCAGGGCTAACCTCCATATTTGTTTTCCAAGTGAAAAAAAAAAAAACATATTCCAAATTGGTGCACCATGATCAATGGTAAGAAATGACATAAAACACCTGTCTTCAGTCTAGAAAGACCCCTCCATCTCCTTCTACCACATGCACGCCTTGTCCAGCAAGTCACCTGATAAAACCAACAGTGCTCTTCAGAGCATGCTAGAGACCTCAGCACTTTGGACTGAAAACCCCAAGATGCATTCCTTACATGGAATAAATGGTCATCCCTGGTCTCTCTTCAATTTTAATGCTTTCATCGCTAGGACAAGGAGGGTTGTCCTGAAACTGGTTTGGGATCCGCAGAGAGACCTTCACTTTCTGCTGTAAGGAGCCATTTTCAGCAGGGAAACCAGTGATAGAGACGGGAGCAGTCATACCCATTCCAACCCCTGAAAGAGAAACACAGCCATTATTAAAGAAGTTTAGGTTCTCAGGAACTCACAGATCCACAAAAGATAATTTTAGTTGAGGAAAACTTCTCACACTGAACTCCTTGTATAGTCAGTCAGGAGTGGGGTCCTCTGGGGCATGCAGAACAGCCACATTAGGTTTCTGCTGGGGCCAAACTTCTCTCTCCACTGAGTACACAAGGATCCTGGGAGATGAGAGCCCCAGCTGACCTCTGGATGGCTTTTTATTAATGGTCCTGTTTTTGTGGCTCTCAACCACACAGCTCACGCCACCAAAATACTGTTCTTCTGACAAATCACCTCTAACACAACAGGGTCTACAGTTCTGGGGCAGGTCAGTGGCACAAGTAAATCTACATCAGTATTTAAATTGTTATCATCTGCACTTAGTGGTGAGCCCATAGCCAATACTGGGTGACAGGAGCTTTATCCTAAACCCTTCCAAATGCTTCCAGACATTCTACAAGTGCCCCAAAACTCAGAGCTGTTGTGGCTTTCAAAAATGTCCACTGCTCCAGGAAGAGCATGCTTCTTTTCTGCTCATTACTGCATAGAGGTACCACATGGCACTAAAGAACATTTTTCTTGCCTCTTTTTCTTTCAGCAGTAGGGAACCTTCAGACCTCAGGATCAGGCAGCCACAGAACCAGCTGAGATCAAGCCATCTTTCTCATTTGGTTCGCTTTGATACCATACCTGTCTCTGTGGCACATGTTACAAAAGGCACCCTTTCTCCTGCAGCAACAGCAATCACCACCTTTCCAAAACATATCACTGTAAATGCAATTTCCCTCTGCATCCAGCTCCTGTTGCCATACTATACAATTTACTCTACCAGATGCCTGAGAAAGGTGTGCAAGCAAATGTATAAACCTCAGAACCACTCTGTGGTCTTCTCCTTCTGCTACAGATGATTACCGATACACATAATTTAGTAAATTGAGAATTAGAAGCAATCACCTGGAATCACCATTATAAAACATTACAAACTACCATTAAAAAGTGAGCTCATTGTTCATTACCCTTTCATGAATAAAAATAGCCAGAGCGTATGATAAAATATCAAGGTCATAAAAGTTATTTCACTGCCTACAAGGGCACATCATAGAACCAAAGTGCCCTGAATACCGCTGATTTCATCAGCTACTGCTCACCCAGGGGCTGTGATAGACACACATGTGCCTGTCCTCACGTTATCCCACCTGCAAGAAAAAAAAGCTTAAACAAATCAGCTTTGAGATTTTACCCTGAAACAGAAAGGCATTAGGAGTGAACTCACAGTATGACTTGGCTGGACACGCTTTAACCTGCGGCAAGTTTATTTTTCCCAGCGTGGGGCCATCCCCATCAGAGCTTGGTGGTCAACCACAAACACCCACCAAGCTCTGCGGGACGGGGAGCGCCTCTCACCCTTGTCGTTGGTTCCTCCGACGTACTTGAGCAGCTTGAGCACCCCTTCCTTCGAGGCTTCGTCGAACGGCTTCCCTGACACCTCCA